AGTGATTAACAGGATAGCCTCAAGAGTGTTGGAGTGGAAGTCTCCTTGTCAGATATTGAAAAGAGACTAATGGGATCCTTCAATTGAGAATATTTGGATGTGTATACTTTGTGAAAGATAACAGACCATCTGTAGGGAAGTTGGATCCCAGAGCTGTTAAATGTGTGTTTGTGAGTTATTCTACTAATAAAAAATGTTATGTTTGCTGGAGAGGAGCCCGATTGAGAAGAGACTCTTGGTGAATATGGATGTGTCATTCAGAGAGTTTAAACTATACTATACTTTGGAGGTTAATTCACCTGTCGATGACTCAACAAACACTGGAAATATTAGTCAAGAGAGAGTAAGTAGTATTGGTGATGGAGTTGAGCAAGTGAGAGCAATGTCATGTCCTGTAATGTGGGATGAATCAACTAATCAGAAGTTCAAGCCCATGACAGAGACAGGTGAATCGATTGATCGTAAGAGGTCCAATAGGCTGGTGGGCCGCCTGACCTATCTGTGCCACACTCGACCTTATATGTCTTTTGCAGTAAGTGTGGTGAGTCGCTATATGCATGGTCCAAGGAAGGGTCATACGCATGCAATGTATCAGATTCTAAGGTATCTGAAGAGTCCACCAGAGAAAAGGGTTGATATTCAGAAAGAATAGACATGTAAATTTTGAAGGCTTTTGTGATTCTGACTGAGCAAGTTGTGCTGATGACAGACGATCCACATCAGGATACTGCATGTTTTTAGGCCAAAACTTCGTCTCGCGGAATAGCAAAAAACAATCAGTTGTAGCAAGATCAACAACAGAGGCAGAATATAGAGTCGTGGCATTAGTTGTTGCTGAGATGATGTGACTGAAAGCCTTGTTGGTTGAACTCAAAGTAGACCGGAGAACTCAAATGAAGTGTTGTGACAACAAGTCGACAATCAACATTGCTAACAACCTGGTGCAACACGATAAAACTAAACATTTGGAAATTAATAGATTCTTAATCAAGTAGAAGCTAAATAACGAATTGTTGGAACTAAGTCGTGTAGCTACTCGAGAGCAGGTGGACGACTGCCTCACAAAAGAGCTTAATTCAGTGGAGCTAGGTAGATTATGTGACAAGATGGGCTTAGTTAATATCTTTCGCCCATCTGGGGGAGCATTGTGAGTTAGGTATAATAAGAGGGTTTTATGGAATTTATTTGTTAAATATTGCAGCACCTATTTAAAAACATATATTGAATGAAATAGAAAGTTTAATTGCAAAATCATTAACATTACGATCTTGTAACTTCTTAGTTAAGGATAATCTCCCCTTTATTATTTTTAAGCACAGGAATTAAACAAATAACATAGAGGGAATTTTTCCTCCATGTTCAAAGAGTACATGCTACATATTAAAAGTCAGGTGTTGCAATTCATATGTGCCGCCTCTCAATCAACCAACACCAACACAGTCTATTTATCACTAGGTATTTGAAAAATAAAAATCAAATGAATAATTTTTTTTTCTTTTTTGCTTCATTCTTTAATTTTATTATTTTAAACAATGAAATGTTACTGCAAAACTGTTGTGAGATATGTACTTCCTGGCATAGAAATAAGACGAAAAAGAACACAAGCAAACACAGATCGTTTACATGGTTCAATCCAACTGAATCTATGTCCACAGAAGGGAATCAATCAAATAGTTCACTAAGGCAAAAGAAATGGAGAATACATAGCTTATACATAGAGATGAGCCCTCATCTTCCTTCTATGACCTCCCTCTCAAGCGACACCTTGATACAAGGCCTCAAGATGCTCTCCTCCTCTCTAGCTCTCTAGCTATTATCTCCTCCTTCGTGGTAGCTTAAGATCTTTTCCCTTGCTCTCCTAAGTCTCACACCCTCTCTATTTATAGAAGCAAGAGAGTGGTAGGTGGGAGGTAGGTGAGCGGTAGGTGAGCGGTAGGTGAGATGTGGTAGGTGAGCGGTACCACATTACAAAAATGTCCTTTTACCTTAGTTCAATAATTGGAGGTCAAAATAACAATTCTCCACCTTGACCCTCAATTAAGAAGCTTCAAATTAAAGATTCCCTCCACATCGCCCCTGAGGAGCCCTCAGCCCTTGCTTGAGTTTGCTAAGTCCAAACAATACATGGACTTAGCAATCACGATTCTTCCGATAAGAGAGTACAACCCTTTTTTTCTGACTCCTTGTATGACGACACGAGGGCCTTTGGTTACTTTGATGCAGTCATTCTCTGCCTTGAACGAGCATCCTCTTGACTCCAGCATACCTAAAGAAATCAAATTTCTTTTGAGCTCTGGTACCCATCAAACATCCTTATCCTGATTGATCCACTTCCAACAACCCTGTGAGCTTTATTGTCTCCCAGTAGATAGGACCCATCATTTTCATGTTGCGGTGTCTCGAACCAGTCTTTGTGAGGACACATGTGGAAAGAATACCCTGAGTCAAGGATCCACTCCTTACTGGATTCAGATTCTGTGATCACCAGGGCCTCAGCAGAATCGTAGTCATCAGAGGCTACACTTGTTTCTCCTGATTCTTCTGGCTCTTCTTGGTACTTATTCTTCCTGTCTAAGCAGTTCCTCTTGAAATGACCGTCCTTATGACAATGATAGCACTTGAAAGATCCCCTTAATGACTCATTCCCATCATCCTTGCTTGAACTTGAATTGTACTGACCATTTCTTGAATCTTTTCTGTTTGATCTTCCTCTGATAATAAGACTATCTCCGCTGACTTCCTTATCTCTATCATGCTTCATCTAAAGTTTTTTGGCTCTAATCAGAGATTGAACCTCCTCCAGAGTAATAGTTTGCACCCTTCCATAGAGCATCGCATCCTTGAAATGCTCGTAGCTCTTAAGAATAGAGTTTAGCAACAATAATGTCTTGTCCTCATCGTCCATCTTGACGTCGATGTTCTCGAGGTCGTCGATGATCTTGTTGAACTCGTAGATCTGCTCTGAGACAGATTTGTCTTCATGCATTTTGAAGGAGTATAGGCGCTGCTTCAGAAAGAGCCTATTAGCCAGAGACTTTGTCGGGTAGAGTACCTCGAGTTTGGCCCAAAGTGCTTGAACTGTTGTCTCCCTCGACACCTCCCTTAGAACTTTGTCGCTCAGGCTCAAGATTATCAAACTGTGAGCCTTGTCCAGCATGCCGATCTTCTCCTTCTCGGTCATGTCGGCCGACAATGCCGCCGACCCTTGCAAAGCTTCTGCAACACCCTGTTGAATCAATAGAGCTCTCATATTTACTCTCCATAGGCCGAAGTCGTTCTTCCCGTTGAATTTCTCAATGTCGAATTTGACGGAACTCATTGTCGTGGCTAGAATTTCTTCCAATGATATCTACCTGCTGCCCTTCCAAGAACTAGGCTTCTCCCCGTGAACTCCACTGCCTTTGCCAACCGAACAGAGAGCTCTGATCCCTTCTGACAAAGATCACACCTGGTCACCGGAGAAAACTTCCTAATTTGTGCTCGCGCCTCCTTCCCGCAGACACTCCTCTGCGTCTAGCGGAACAAATCAAGAATTCCTCCTCTGCCTCTCACACGATAATAACTGCCTCTCTGCCTCTCCAGAGCCGCCGCGCCTCGCCAAACTACTCAGGTCCTCCTGCTTCACGAACTCCCGAACAGGGAACTCCCCTAACCATTCTCTGCGCGATCTCCATCTCTTCCCTCTGGCCGAGCTGCTCGAAAGTCTGAAATCCTCTGTTGGCAGCCCTGTCGCAAATTTTTGGCCCTCTCTCGATGATTGTTCCTCCTCCGTCTCGCCGAACCGCACAACCTGCGGTGCGAATCCAGTCGATCAAAGCTTCCACTGCTCACCGAATCTGACGCGATTTGACTGCCTGCGATGCGATCAGTTTGCTCCTCCGTTCGTGAATGTCAAGCTCCTATTCTTCGTACGCGGACACCTCTAGCCAAGAAGTATGGATCTTCCCACAGACGGAGCCAATTGTTGTAAGATATGTACTTCCTGGCATAGAAATGAGACGAAAAAGAACACAAGCAAACACAGATCGTTTAAGTGGTTCAATCTAACTGGATCTACGTCCACGGAAGGGAATCAATCAAATAGTTCACTAAGACAAAAGAAATGGAGAATACATAGCTTATACATAGAGATGAGCCCCCATCTTCCTTCTATGACCTCCATCTCAAACAACACTTTGATACAAGGCCTAAAGATGCTCTCCTCCTCTCTAGCTCTCTAGCTATTCTCTCCTCCTTCGTGGTAGCTTAAGATCTCTTCCCTTGCTCTCCTAAGCCTCACACCCTCTCTATTTATAGAAGCAAGAGAGTGGTAGGTGAGAGGTAGGTGAGCGGTAGGTGAGCGGTAGGTGAACGGTAGGTGAGATGTGGTCAGTGAGCGGTACCACATTACAAAAATGCCCTTTTACCTTAGTTCAATAATTGGGGGTCAAAATAACAAAAACAGTATAACAATTAACAACACATACTTCTCCTTTCTCTCCCCCATATTTCTTTCGTTTTCTTTCCTATTTTGTTTTTAAAAACACCTCTTTGAAACCATTATGCATTGGAATGCTGGCTATATGGCAATGATACAGAAACTGAATTTTTTATACTCATATTTTCACATAATTCTAATAAATTATTTTATCCACCACAACTCCCACACAAAACAAGCCCCTATACAAATGAAACACGATTGAGTGACTAAAATCACAGCATACTCCTAAATTTTGAGGTTCTACTAGATAGAAAATTAAATCTTTAACATCCAAGCAATTTTGGGCATCAAAGGCATGGTTTTAACTAGGAGAGCTGCAGACGAGCAATTTTCCAATATGATGAAAATGTTCATCCTGTTGCGAGCAGCATCATTAAATTTGTAAACATATAATATTAGTGGACTGCAAAACTTTTCAAAAAAAAAAAAGGAAATAACGGATGTTGTTGGAATTATAATGAAGAAAAAGAACATCTAAGCCATTCCACCTGCACTTCCAATAAAATTAAGGCTACATTACCAAAACAAATCGGCAGCTAGCACCAGCACTAAAGCGGAATATAAACGAAAGTATTTGCTCAGTGTTACTGTAGGGGATATGTACAACAGTTCTAACCGTGCATTGACAAGTGACTGAAATATCTGTGGATAGAAAATAAAAAATATAGCCTGTAAATAAATTCTTACATTCATTAAAAGCTATAAAAAGTGGAATGTATAAGCTTAGCAAATTTTACCTTGAAGGAACAAAGAACAACCAGCCAAATTGACCAGAGTACCATTTGTGATATAGTAGGCGGAACAACCAATGGAAGTAAAGTTCCCTGATGAAAAACAGTGGATGAATAACAATATGGAAGGTGCTCACGAAATCATAATTAGAAAATTGTCAAAGCATTTTCACTAAAAAAATCAGTTAAGGCAAAGCCCAATTTCAAAATCATATAGGTTGTTACAAATGATGTCAAAGCAATACACAGATTTGAAGATAAAAAAATTTGTGAATGATTTTGGGTTAAGAAAAATGATGAGGAGGTTAGTTACTTAAGTGACCGAGATTGTGAAAAAACATTGAGGCATCTTTTAGCGTAACTATAGAAACTTCATAAAAAACTCCAAACTTAGAAATGCTCATGCGGGAAAACTCTTAGGATTGGTGACTTCCTAGAAAGTTAGACCAATTGGACCAAATTGTGAGGACAATAGGCCAAAATGGACAATATCTCGATGAATAAGGGTTTGGGTTGTTACAAAATGTGAAACTCCTAAAGGAGAATAAAATTGAACTCTTAAACATCAAGGTATTGTTTGGTGTAATTGTTGGAATTTGATCAGGAACTTAAAAAAAACTTTGTGCTTATAGGTTCACTAGTGAGAAGTTACACCAGTGAAACAAAACAGTGAAGCCATAAGGCCAGAGTGGACAATATAACGATGGATGAGAGCTTGATTTGTTACAACTATGGTACAAGCCTTAAGAAGATAACAATTGCAGAAGGCTTAAGAGAGAATCGCTTCGTGGCAACTACGGCATAAGTATTAAACAAGAAGATTGTGACACAAATCTTAAGGGGTGTTTGGTAGCATACTATTTTCGGAACATAACTGCAACAGAGCTCTAACAAATGATAGTTGTGGCATAAAACTTGAGGGATATGAGTGTGACTCAAAATTTGAGGGAAACAACCATGGTGAAAGTCATAATTTCAATGGCAATTGTGTCCAAAGAGAAAATTTTCTCATGAAGTGGCGATTGTTGCGGCAATGCAAATGTTGGTACATACCTTGATGCAGCTACAGTGGTCACAAGCAAAGATTGTTTAAAAAAACTCATGATGTGTCGATAAATATGGCAAGAATGAAGGTTGCAGCATATGCCATGGTGTTTGTGTGACGGAGAAGCCGCAGCAGAGCAACAACGGGATTCCCGTCTTCTAATCCTTCGGCGCCAGAGAAGAGTCATAACGGAATCGCAGCAAACAGAACTCCAAAACTCTTTAACGTGCCCTTGGATTGGATGGAAAAGCAACGACGTAATCAAGGCGTACAAAGACCTTCGAAAATCCCGTTTTTTCTCCCTGCTCCGTCCCTCCTTCTGATCCAAAGCCATGGCCTCCTCCTGTTCGCCAAACCGAGAGCCACAAGCGAGCGGGAAAAGCAACAGCGGGAGAGCAGAGTGCAGCGATCTCCGAAAATCCCATCTTTCTCTCGTTCCGCTCCTACCGAGCCAAGCCCAACAAAAGTCAAACCCCCTTGTTCATCCCAGTCGTCCCAGGCCCAGGCCCTTGCTATATATATATATTTTTTTATTCAAAATCATTGAGATTCTTGCTTGATTGAATCCTAGCCATTCATTCAATCTTGATTCTATGTCTGAGATTCTAATAATTAATTTTACTTGGATTAGCCGTTAAGGACGTAGTAGTTTTTTCTCAACAATATATATATATATATATATATATATATATATATAAACCATACTACATATATATTTTTTGTATATATGCATATAAATCAAGGGGATATAGATATAAAGCGCGCGCCAGAGAGAATTATATAAGAAATTGTGTTTTCATGTTTTAATAGAGGTTAAATATAAGATCATGTGCGTCTTATAAATTGATGGATTGGAAAATCACTTCCGATTTTAGTATCAGCATCTCACTACATAATCAGTGCGTCTTATAGACAATTAGGCGAGCTAGACACCTAAGTGTAGCCCCCTAAACGGGGGCAACGTCAAGAGCCTGTCAAAATTTCAGATGAATTTAGATTTACAAATAATATAAAAACATAAATTATTTGGACTTTAAAAATGACATAACATTAAAAAAAACATGAATGTTACACTTAAAATACGGTTGAAATCATTTCAAAAGAATAAATTAGGAGTGTGTTTGGGGCAGCTTGTCCTGAAACGCGACCCATGGGTGGCCCGTGGGGTTCAACCCGTGGTCTGTGTTTGGTGTAAGAACCCAACCGCGATTTCGAATAAACAGCCGAAACGTGTTTTTCAAATGGTGATGCGGCGTTTTGAAAATGTCACTCACACTTATAAACTTCCCCCAAACAGCCCCTAAAGGTGCTTGAGACTTGCACGAGATTCATGAAAAATTGAAGGACTAGTTAGTTAATATAATTGGACTTCTCTTTAGCTCAAATTTGATTATATTTGAAAAGTGAACAAATAAAAATCTACATCTTAATGCAAAAGTCTTTGTATGTGATCCATTTTAATACATAACTTCGGGCTAAATTAAATCACATAATTATCATTTATAAATGCTAAACTATGACTTAATATGTATTTTTGTTGTAAGACCTGCAATTCTAATTTGCAAGTAGACGGGAGGTGTTCTTTTTAAAGCCTAAAAATATAATTTTGCATGCACTTTCAATGAAGGTTATGCTTCAACTAAAAAAAATTGTCTTAAAATATGTGCGAGTAAACCATGACCTTTCAATTAATTATCCAAGTGCTGTTAAATTATGTGCAGATGGAAAATGTTGTAATTTGAAGGACATGTCACAATGTGATCCAATATATTTGTATAATCTCAAAATTAATTCTAATTTACCTGCATATGCTCTAGCTAGAGTTCTAAATGTTTTAATGAATAGCTTAGGAATATTGTGCGGGTTAAAATCAAACTTACACTCTAATAGTTCATATTTAAAAATAATCAATTAGGTTTCCTTGTCTATAAGTCAATGTTGTAAGTTTCATCCAACTAGTTTGATCATCATTCTCTTAAGAACTGAAATTGATGAATTTGGTAATTTTAAAATAACGTCTAAATAGTTAATATAACAAGTTACTAAGTCCAAATTATCTAGTATGATGCTCCTCCTAATCAGGACTTGAGTTGACATTATTAATATATTAAAGATATCAAAATTGACAAATTTCAAATAAATCTTAAGCATAAATGTTTTAAATGTCAAATCCTCAATGATGATTGAGATGAAAAAATATTTCAATCGGAGGGATGTATTTTCAAGATTAAGTTTTAAAATATATTTGAATAAATTCAAATGATATAAACTATGAACTCGATCCACTATAAACAAAATAGAGTTGATAAGGTTCAATGTCAATTAATGTATCAATTATGAATTTGATTTTTTGTAAGTAGAGCAAAGTTGACAATGTTAAAATTCAAACATATGTTAATATTCAGCCCGATCTTTTACGAGCAAGAAGTAAAGTCTACAGAGTTCAAATCACTCAATTAAATCTCCGATGATGGCCAAGTTGATAGAAGTTTTCAATTGGAGAGATCTATTCGAAGTTTATTTCAATAAATTCAAATAATACATATATGTATAAACTTAATCCTCTGTATGCATGATAGAGTTGACAACGTTCATGTTTCATCAAGTGTTAATGGTGAATCTAATCTCTTACAAGCAAGCTGTAAAGTTGATAGGGTTCAAATCAAGCATTCAAATCTCCGATGATGACAGAGTTGATATAATATTTCAACTAGAGATGTTAATTCTTAAAAACAAGATTTCAAAATAACAAGCAAAAATATTTAAGTAAAATTAATCATAAAAAACTTAAATCAAATTTCGTCCACCATCCACAACAATTTGTCAAGAGTAACAATTTTTTTTATTGACTTCAACTCACACATAATGATTTTCACATCAAATATAACATTATATTCACACTCAAAGTAATGTCATGTCAGTAAGGACGTGACCAAAGTACTCTGTTCACGTGGTTTTGTTGTCAAATGACACCATAAAATAACAGTTATAACCAGAACCTTTTGATCGGGTGTTTACCACCAAATGACACCATTATATTATAATTACGATCGCAGCCCGTATGCACCGCAACGACTATATATCATTTGAGTTGTGAACCATAAGAGTACAATTGATTAATCAAAGCAAAACCCCATATCAAAAAGTCATTACAAAAACGTAGGTGAAATCTCTAGATAGTGTCTTATCTATAATCTAATTTGTCTTCTCAAAAGTTGGACGCTTAAAGCTCTCTCAACACAACAAAAACAGAGGGTCTGGGGTGTTGAAATTTTTTAGAGTTCGCAATAGATATCAACAACAAAGACAAATCATGTCATTGCATAACTAAAATATAATATAATGCTATCATTGTTTTGATCCATCGATTCGTCTGTATGATTACCAGTAATAGGTTTCATTAGGGATTTGAATATACCACATCACAGACCTCAATATCGCAAGTGAATCAGTGGTAATAGAGAGAAGTTTCGATAATAATTTTAGCAAAAAATAACCTCCCTCATTAAACATATTTACACATAACATATAGGGTCTGACCCAAGCTATATTTCTCTCTAGTTAATCAAGTCTTGCCAAAAAGCAACATAGGTGCTCAAGCGTATTCTTTAGTACCTGCTTCTAAGGATGAGAGATCTGTCATCAAACAAATTCACAAAACTAAATAACTTTTCTTAATTATTTACAAGATATTGAGTTCCATTACTATAAAAATGCTTTTTAAACCTATTTCCTTTGCCATGAAAGATGTGAACTAAAACTACAAGGACCTAAAGGTCCACTTTGACAATTGTAATAGCATCAGTTATATAAAAAAAAAATTAGAAAAATGCAATATTTCCACTGAGTAGTTTAAGTTCTTCGAATTAAAATTTGAGGAAAAATAATTCCTTATTGCTGTAAATAAAAAATGATGTCATTTTTGCTTGGAGTAGATGCAGAAAACCTCACTTCTAAAGTACATTACATAAGCATATAAATGCTAGCAAAAAAAATGAATGCAAATATGTATTAAAGATAGCGTGTTAATTGACTTTTGTGCTCGAAGTTCATGAACTAGACTGCCATTTAACCTATGAGTTACTAAATTCTCCAATCAAATTGTGACACAAAAGAATAAACAAGAAGCAATCTCAAGTGACCAAAAATGACATTAATAAAAGGATAATCACCTTTTTTTGGGGGGAGGAAGGAAAAGAATAATCACCTTGTAAAGAACATAATCAACATGTTGTTCCAACACTTTTTGATACTCTGAAAGATATATTTGCTCAAAGAATATTGCCTGAAATTAAATGAATAACTAATTAAATGACAAAAAAATGTCAATAACATGCTAGAAAGAAACAACAAAATGACAAGGGATGTTGGGCAACCTGATGTAGAAAATAAAATTCATATTCTATAGCAATCAACAAAAAATAAAAAATCAATAGCAATCACATCCAAAACAAAATAAGCATGCAAAATATCAAAGCACTTCTTATAGAAAATGAGTTACTTAGAACATCCAAAATCAATCATTCACTCATAACCAAAACTTATAACAAAAAATGAAGTAACATTAGCAACAAAAGAATGCATAAGCTGAAAAATCCCAACTGATGCAAGGCATACACATAGTCATATGACATGTTCTCAAAGTAAAGCACTACATCAAGCCAAAGTATGGTTGTAATTCTTAGTAGGATTATTATTGAATAACTTTCTTGCTAGCAATTTTGTCCAAGACTTGGTCGTTGGCTTACCAAAGAACATGGTGAACTCTTTTCTATCTTAGGCAGCATGCCTTCTCCACTTTATTTTCAACCCTCATCCCCCTCTCCATGACCACCAACCATCACCCCCTCCTCAAATAATCAATATTATTGAAAGTGTCTTAGTCCTATAAAAGCAAAGTTGTAATCCTTAGTTTTACTATTATTGAAGAAAAAAATTACAATTGCTTTCTTACAACTTCTACCAAAGCTTGGTGGTCAACTTATCAAAGAAGTTTTGCTTAACATTTTCTATCAAGTAACCTGCACTTCTCCCATTTTTCCTCCCCTTATTTTCCCTCTTATACAGCAGCCCACAGCCCTAAAACTCTCTCCATAGCAGCCAACTATCACCCACTCCATAGACAAACCCTAATCCCTTTTCCCTCAAGAATCTCTTTTCCACCGTCTGTAACCCTTCCAACACTTCAAACTAGCCCATCCCAGCCCGACCTATCTTCTAAATCTAGACAACAACTATAGTTGAACTACCGCTATTGAATTGAGCAACTAATTAAGTGTCTAAAACTCAAGGCCCCTTCGCTTCCCTACATCATGAACCACCAGCATATTTGTGTAAGCCGCCTTGGCTCAGTGATTGAGAGTTTTTTCTTTTAACCAAGAGGTCCAGGGCTAAAGGCCTTGCATATACGGGGTGAGTGTGTTTCTGTGTGCATGTAAAAAACAAAATAAAAAAGCAAGCACCATCATTGTCTCACCCTTAATCTCTACCTTTTTTTTTCCTACGCAAAAAGGTTGGCCAAACAAGCTAGCCAAATGATCTTACTTTCCACAATTATAACATATTCCATCTAACTAGTACTGTCGTTTATAATTACTATTTGTGTCCTTCTCAAATTCATCCAAACTTTATCTTTTTTTTTTTTATTTCTATCATTTATCAATTTATTTTTTGTGCATGCACATGATATAATTATTTACCAAAACGCAATACAAAACTCTATAATTTTTATCTTCATCATAAAAAGAACTAGGATCAAGAACATCAACTTCTTCAAATAATACATAGATTAAAAAAGAAAGGTTGACCGGTGGTTAAATTAGTTCACATCAAACATACAATCTCATTCGCCAAAAATTTGGTCCATGCCTCGTTTTACTTCTGAATTGAAAAGTCAAGAAGAGGTCCATGCCCTACATACTTTAATTCTAGTAAATTATTAGATATTGAAAGTCAAAGCAGAAGACAAACAGCCTAAAATAGAGCACTAAAAACTCAAGACTTCTCAGTCCCGAAATCAATGTAAGAGTTAATTTTTTTGTCAATAAAAACATGTATAGATAAATCGACAACTAGTCAGTTTAATGAAAAATAAAACAAAAATAATAATAAATAGTTTGCTCGTGTTGCACGCGTGTCAGGAAGAGCAATCATATTTGTTTCGGTAAAAATAAAAATAATAAACCATATTTGCGTAGCTAGGAGCCAAACCTAAAGTTTTTCTGCACTAGTGTAATAGTAAGGCAGATGATGGAACCATGTAACAAAAAAAAACTCTTTTGCTCAACTCAAACTGCAAATTGATACAGCACCTCCTTAAGAAAAAGAAAATGACTTTGCCATACAGTAAAGCAATAAATAAACCAAATCTCATTAAATAATATAAAATCGAAATAAAACCATGCCAAATTAACAAAAATACAGAGAATGATTATTTTGAGGAAAATAATTTATCTAGAAATATATGATGGAATTAAGTTTAATGTTTTCAAATTCAACAAACAATTAATGCTTGTGTCTAAATCATAAGGAATTTATGAGGATCAGATTTCGTCAAATTTGACCATACATCACGCATGCTAATTAAAATAAAGGATGATCAAAAGGCATCTAGTAGCCCTTTTAAAAATCTAATATTAGTCATGTATTTCACTAATCTAAATCATATGATATATACAAATATTATCAACAACCTATGTATTTAATTCCAAATCATTTAAATGTTTCTTCACCTTCTTTCACTCATGAGTATCATCTCATGCAATCAAATCATTCATTACAGAAACATACGAAATAAGATTAAATATCACTAGTTTTAATAATACTAAAAAAGAATATATGATTTTATTTCAAAACATCATAAAATCAAAATCTAATCAAATAGAGATTAAAGCAAAATCAGATTGGATGGAGAATAATACTAATAATAAATGAATTGAGTGAAAAATAATAATTTTTTTTCTAAGAAAAAATATATAGCAATACATAGGTATAAAATAAATACAGAGTTCCTCAGAAGATAAGTCATATTCTCCCCTCAATAACTCTACCATAGAATGCGATCAGGACGTCTTATTCACTGTTGCAATTGGATTGGATTGCATTGAACCTAACGATGGCCCAACAAGTGCATCAGCCCACTCAAATTTAATCTTGTGAAACTCTTCAAATAAAATAAATCTGAACTCTTAAACATTGAGAAATCTTTTGGTATAATGCTATGATTTCGATAGAAACTCCAAATTTAAATGTGTTCATGTTGGAGCACTCCTAAGATGGGTGACCTTCTAGAATATTACACCAACAGTGCAAAACCGCGGACAATATCTTGATGGGTGAGAATTCAGGCTGTTATAAATGATATTCGAGCATTATACTAATTTGAAGATATAAATATTTGCTGGTGACTGATTCTGGGTTAAGAGAACTGACAAGGACGTCAGTTCCTTAAGCAGAGGAGATTATGAAACCTCTTGACTAAAATTAAAAAAAAAACTCTCTTAGAGACAATTTTTGGTGAAACCATGTAATTTTGATTGAAACTTTAAAATTAAGTTTGCTCATGTTAGAGCACTGATAGGATGAGACCTCCTAAGAAGTTACACCAATAAGACAAAATTGTGAGACCATTAGGCCAAAATGGACAAGAACTTGATGGGTGAGAGTTTGGGTTGTTACTGATCCTCTAGTCTCAACTGTGATGCGAACAGGTAAAGGGGTATCGACCTCGAGGAGAGGAAAGGCGGGTAAGAGAGATGAGGAGAGACCAGTAATCAGTCAACGGCTGGAAGTGAGGGCAGAAATCTAAGTTGTTGAATATTCATCAAGAAAAAACCCCTCTTTTCTCTTAATCACAGAGCGTCCTGGCGCTGTAACAACTTTAGGAGCTTTACTAAATCACGTACATCCAAATTCATTAACTCTTATCAACAACAGAGTTTAATAAATTCGAAATCTAAGATAAAAGAAAGAAAAAAAAATGAAGAGGAAAATAAAATTTAACTTAAATTCACCATAAAACCACTCACATGAAAATAGCTAAAATAGGTTGCATCAATTACATAGTATGTGAAAGAAAGCTTTTACTAAACATACACACCACAGGAGAAGATGCACATGACTCCAGGCAAAAGGTTCTCCAATGGCTATCATGATAAAGATTCAAATACTCGCTTTTCTACTAAGCAAATCAGGCAAAATTCCCAAGATGGCATGCTTCCCTACTTCAATTAATTACAGTCGGAATCGAACTTACCTTGAGCGCAAGAGCAACCAGAATATACACATTAACTGCTAAATTCAACAGCAAAGCAATGGCGATTTTCGAATGGACGAGCAACTCCACAGTATGCCCAAAATCCACCCTACCATTTCCCCCGAGCAACGAGAACATCCACCACCTCAGCCCGATTAAGCTCAGCATTGTAAAAATCGCCGAAACGGCCACGCAAGGCGCGCTCATTTTGACGGATTGGAAGCTTCTTCAACCTCGGATCTTCAATTCTACCACGAAACAGACACATGAACAGAATCAATCAAAGAAAAAACAGTAAATCAAACCCATATCCAACTTCAAACCAGGTTTGGGTAGCGAAAACAATATCTCTCTCCTACCTCGGCGGCTTCCCTTTCTTCCACGGCGCTCTGCTTGCAAAACACGAACGCATATTCAATGGATACTTTTCCATCTTTCTCGCTATTTATAATCGGGTAAGAGAAGGATGGTGATCTCTGATGGAGCCAACATTGGTACTAAAATTCAAACTGAGGGCTGCACTAGCTCTGATCCGCCGGCACCTCTTCAGTCCTGCGTCAGGTCAAAATTCCGTACAATAATTTTCCACGAGTGAGAAAGAAAACAAGAGGGGAAGGTGAAAACGGAACTACAGGCCACCGTCTCGGAAGAAGAAAAGACAACATTTGTTCTAGAATTTTGCATAAACATGAACTAAAAATTTCTCTTTTGGTGTTTGGTAGCATGCTGGTAATGGGAATTAGTGATGAATTTTGCATAAATCCAATTAAATATCAAATGATTGAATAATAAATTCAAGGCCACTTTAAATTGAATTTTTGAATGTTATCTTCATTTTTTCTCGTGTTTTGTTTTTTCTCGACGTAAATTTATATTTATTAAATCTGATTATAAGTCGAATTTATTTCATCGTCAATTGTGAACTCCGACATAGAAGACAAATACGGATTTATATGATTTGATAAATTCTATTTGACGGAAATCTAAGACACAGTTAAACACAGCCTTAACTAGAAAGTAAGCTACTAGAATTTTTTTTTAATATTAAAAGCATTTTTGGATGAATAAATTGTTGTAAATCATAAACTATGAAAAAAATATATCATGTTTTCTTTTTGTTTCAAAGTTATAGATGTTAATAGAACTATAGAAAAGCTATATAATGCAAGGCATATTAGGTTTATGGTTAAGAATGTAATGATCATCAATGTTGATAATCAGAAGTTGATCAAGGGTGTTGTCATGATAACAATATTCATTTATATATCAAAGCTATCATTAGAGCAAGGGAATCAACAATAAATTGTCAAAACATTATATTAAATTAAGATAATAAATGTTAAGTGATTAATAGGTTATATTCAAATGATAAGTTTTAAAATTGAAGTTTTCATATGTCCATTTCAAGAGAATTAGGCTCTTTTTGAGATCTCTTTCTATTTTATGTTTTTTGTTTTTATTTTCAATATGATTTATTTTTATTTTATTTTTTATTTTTTATTTTTAGAAAATTCGTTTGGTACTGTTATGATTTATATATTATTAAAAACAAAAAATGTAAAATATGTTTGATTGAGATTTTCTATTCTCTTTTAAAAAAAATTATACTTTTTAAAAATTTAAGTTGATTTATTATTAAAGTTTTATAATTATTAAGTTTATTAATTAAATCAATAATATTTTATTAATTAAATTAATTATAAATATTAAGTTAATTAATTAAATGATTAAAATTTTATTTAAATTATTATGGGTTTAATTAATTAATTATTAAGTTAATTAAGTAGATTTATTATTACAATTTTATAATTAATTAGTTAATTAATTTTATTATTAAGTAAAATTAAATAATAAATAAGTTTATAATCATTAAGTTTAGTAAATTAAATAATTAAATTATTAATTAATTGAATTTATAATGCTTAAGTTAATTAAAGTAAATTTATAATTATTAATTGAAATTAAATAACTCATAAGTTTATAATTATTAAGTTGTGATTGTTAATTAATTAAATTATTAATTGAAAGTATTAATTAGTTAACTTTTATAATTATTAAGTTAATTAATTTAATTACTAATATTCTATTAAGTTAATTATTTAAATTATAATATTATATTTGAATGTTATGAATTCAATTGATTAATTATTTAATTAATTAAATTATTTATTATTTAAAATTTATGATTATTAAATTAATTAATTTTACTAATAATGGAAATTAAATAATTAATAAGTTTATAATTATAAATCTAATTAAGTTAATTAATTAAATTGTTAATTTAAATTAGGCTAAGCGTGTTTTGGCTGTTTTCAAAACATAGAAACACGTTTCACATGTTTTTTATGTTTTGAAAACAATCTACTTGTGTTTAAAAATAAATTTAAAAAAAAGATCAAAACACAGGCAGCCAAACAATGTTTTCATGTTTATTTTTTATTTTTTTTTTATTTTCAAAAATAAAAAATAATATATAAAAATGGATTCTAAAAAGACCCTTAAAGTAACTTTAGTTTTTTATTATTATTATTTACATTTCTAATATTCTGTCAAAGTAAATGTGTTAATAGATCCTTGTGTTTTAGTATTGTATTTAAGGCATTGTGAATTAATGGCTAATGACTAATATTCAACTAAGAGAGAAACTTGAATCACTAAAAAAGGAGAATGAATTATCAAGTTAATTTATTTTTGATAAAAAATAAAGGGAGAGAAAAAATGGAGTGCAAAGAGAAATGGTTTGCACAATCAAGCTAGGATATGCAAATGTAATGTGGATAATGCATTGAACATCTTTATGTTTTGATAGCTTTCTCAGACACCCTAACAAAGATGACCATGTATTTACCACAAAGTGATGTTCAAGATATAGTTTCACATGTGAAAATTTGTGGAGGGGCTAACAAACATAGAAAGATAGGCTTGGAAACTTGATTTTCCCTATATGGTGTTGAAAGCCTCTAGCTAATGTGATATGCATTGAAGAAGCCTCAAGTTTAATGACCGGAGCAATGATGTTGCCCACTAATAGTGGCTAGTTGGGATATTTGAGAGGTGTTATGTTGATAGGCCAAACTTTTTTTATTATATGTTTCGCTTTGTTAAATGATATCTAGTATTGAATGACAGAAAGCATTATTAACCTTAATCACACTATTAGGAGATGATACATGTAGTGGAAGTTGAGGTAGATAAAATTAATGAGCTTACCAAAAACAACATTGCGGATAACTTTTAAGGTGACTAAGGTTTTAATTCTTTGAAAAGTGGTTTATCAGAACTAACAAAACACTTGAAATGTTTGAATATTTTTTTTAAAAATAATATGGCTTGAATTTTCTTTTGAATAGTAGCTTATCAGGACGAGCACAATGTTGAGAAACTCGGAAGAAGCCCCTTCCAAATTTATCACTGAGTAAGATCATATATATTTGAGAAAGTCGGAACAAACTTACAAACAGAAGCATGACAAATACAAATCAGAAATAACATGCGAGAATTTGAAATTGAAAAACTAGAGGACGGGAAAAAAAATTAGGGAGCCGCACTACTAGCCAAAATTAACTATGAAAAAAGAGAGTTTACAGAGAATACACTAAATTTTATCTCCCCAAACTTACGAGACCTCGCCCAAACCATTTCTTCTCTGATTTGACATGAGAAACAAACATCGAAATCATCAAAATCCTTCTCTCTAACATTTCTCACATTCACCAAAAGTTTTGTCAAAGAATAATACATCGAAGGAAAACATACATTATGTTGACTGAAATTGGACCTTAAACAGGAAATCCAGAGATAACAGCTTTGGGTGCATGTGCTCGAATGTTAGAGTGTTAGCTCCTCAAAGAATCATACCCTAAAAGCACAGGTGAGCACGAACAGGGAGCTTGAGCACCCAATATTGGGCACTTAGACGTCCAAATGGGAGCGCTTGAGCGCCCCCTCTTCAGTTACGCCCAGAATGGGTGCTTAAGTGATATTCAAGATATTGTTTCTTAAGCAAGGATTTGCGGAGGGCAAGCTAATAAAGGTAGAAAGATAGGCTTGGAAACTCTATTTTCCCTATATGATATGGTAAGTCTCTATCTAGAGTGATTTGCATTGAAAAAATCCTCTAATATAATGACCCAAGCAATGATGTGTACTTGAGCCCACTAATAATGGTTGGTTAAGTTATTTGTGATGTTGATAGACAACATTTTTTTACTATATCATTCACTTTGCTAAAGGACATCTATTATTGAATTATATAAAGCATGGTTGAACTGTAAGAACATTATTAGGAAATGATACAAGTTGTGGAAGCCGAGATAGGTAAAATGAATGAGCCTACCAAAACAACACTTAGGCTAACTTTAAGGTGAGACATATCTCTGAAGAGTAGCTTATCTGAACGAGCACAACCATCAAAAAATTTGAATGATATTTTTAAGGTAATTTCATTTGCTTTTTATTTCAAGAGTAGCTTAACAAAACGAGCACAACCATCCATATTACTAACCAAGGGGAATCCCTTATAACAAATCTCTTAGTGAAGAAAAAGCATTATCATGCAAATTCCACTCAAGAGTTATCATCCCTTCAATTGATGTAACTCAAGCAATGCAAATCATAAGGGAATAGTGTTAGTACACACTAATTTTCTAGTTATTTAATTTTTGATGGAATCCAAAAATAATGTCAATAAAGTTAGTGTACTTTAGCATACATCACAAATTACTTTTGTCATAATTGATAAAATTTTAGGAAAGTTGTATACTTGCATTAATTTTCATTGTATGTGCATTTTATGAAAGCCAAAAAGGCATCGATCAGATCAACACAATGGATTGTTTTTGTCACATAATTGAGAATGACCCCCAAGAAAAAGTACTTTAAAAATATCATCATTGACCAGTTATTCGCTAAGATGCAAAAGATTGTTGCCAAATAATAGAGAAAAAATTAGAATTTTGATGGATTTCAGCATTGGCTGACTTGGCAACTACAACTTATTATTGCCTTTATATATATATAGTCATTCTCCATTATAATGAATGAAAATCATCAGGTATTTTCACATGACATCTCAAAAGAGATTTTCCAATCATTTTCATTGGAAATAGGGTCAGTGTCATTAGCTTATCTAACCAATAAGCCTAACATAAATCTTCTCCATACAAAGACATTTAACTAATTAGATCTCCATTTTTGATATTATTATCAATAATAGCTATGAATTATCAAGCAAGAAGTAGATGTCATTTTACGTAAGCTATAAAGTTCATAACTTAATAATATTCAGTTGCGTTGTTTGTTAATATATAATATAATAACTCTAAATTTAACTTCTTAAAAACTTGAGGATAATAATAGCAAACACATTTTGATAATGCTAATATATGTAATAGTTCTCAGTAAAGCCACAAATTATAAATTTACAGATTGTGTTGTAGATTATAGTTCATTGTTAAGGTTAATTCATGAGCCTTGGTCATCCCCTTGCTCAGAAGTGAATATTACATGACAGACATTACACAATAAGAATAAGATAGACTCTTAAGAAAAGCTTGCTACAAGCATAAGATTTGACATCAGCTATGGATTCTATGAT